TGGAAGGCTGGTATCCAAAATCCATAAAGAACTTATCAAACTCAACACCCAAAAAACAAAAAATTCAGTCATGAAATGGGCAGAAGACATGAACAGACACTTCTCCAAAGAAGACATAGAAATGGCCAACAGACACAGGAAAAAAGGTTCAACATCACTCGGCATCAGGGAAATACAAATCAAAACCACAATGAGATACCACCTCACACTGATCAGAATGGCTAAAATTAGTAAGTCAGGAAACAACAGATGTTGGCCAGGATGTGAAGAAAGGGGAGCACTCTTACACTGTTGGTGGGAATACAACCTGATACAGCTACTCTGGAAAACAGTATGGAGGTTCCTCAAAAGTTAAAAATTGAGCTATCCTACGACCCAGCAATTGCACTACTAGGTATTTATTCAAAGGATACACACATAGTGATTCAAAACGGCACATGCATCCCAATGTTTAGCAGCAATGTCCACAATAGCCAAACTATGGAAAGAGCCCAGATGTCCATTGACAGATAAATGAATAAAAAAGATGTGGCGTATTTGTATAATGGAATATTACTCAGCCATCAAAAAGAATGAGATCTTGCCATTTGCAATGATGTGGATGGAACTAGAGGGTATTATGCTAAGCCAAATAAGTCCGTCAGAGAAAGATAAACACCATTTGATTTCACTCATATGTGGAATTTAAGAAACAAAACAGATGAACATAGGGGACGGGAAGGAAAAATAAAATAAGATGAAAATAGAGAGGGAGGCAAACCATAAGAGACGCTGACCTCTAGGAAACAACTCTGAGGGTTGCTGGAGGGGAGGTGGGTGGGGGGAAGGAATAATTGTGTGACGTGTACTAGGGAGGGCACTTGATGTAATGAGCACTGGCCGTTATATGCAACTGATGAATCACTAAATTCTACCCCTGAAACTAATAATACAGTATATGTTAACTAAACTGAATTTAAATAATTAAAAAAAAAAAAAAAGGCATGTGGCTCCTTAATCCATACATTTCTGCTGGCCAACTCTACTTTGTGAGGTTTCAGTGGCTCCTTTTCCTAAGGCTTCTAAATAAGATAATACTTTGATAATAAAATGTTTCTTAAGAATAAATATACATGGGGTGCCTGGGTGGCTCAGTTGGTTAAGCGACTGCCTTCGGCTCGGGTCATGATCCTGGAGTCCCTGGATCGAGTCCCGCATCGGGCTCCCTGCTCGGCAGGGAGTCTGCTTCTCCCTCTGATCCTCCCCCCTCTCATGTGCTCTCTCTCATTCTCTCTCTCTCAAATAAATAAATAAAATCTTTAAAAAAAAAAGAATAAATATACATGAATATGCAATTTAAATTAAGAGATCATAATATGTGGAAATTTCATCTCGAGTGTATAAGGACATTTCTATCAATGGTACTTTCTGTGCCTCATCTTCAGAGGCCAGAGTAACAGCAAAACACAGCACATTTATAGACAATTGCCAGGGGTCTACCACTGATAAAACGTGTCAATGATTTCTCAGTTGATTCTATGCTCTTTGAAGGGAGGAACTTTGTCCCATTTATTCTGAATGTCTCTTTATCCTTTTAGTACCTAATGTATCATTAGACAGCACAGGCACTAAACATCGACTGAGAAAACTTGTTATTGTATCTCTTTAAATTCTTCCCAGGCCAAAATTTTTGCCATGTGCTCTCTATGGTACAGAGCTTTGAAGCTTCGATGTCTGCAATTTCCAGCATAAGGCTGGAAAAAAGTCCCCAGTTGTTTTTGAAGGAAAACTTTGACTAGGCCTGATATTCTCTGTAAGCCCAATTCTGTTTCATAAGGACGGTGTTTATCACAGTTAACTTGTACTTATTTGCGTGACTATTTGGTGAATGTATATTTCATTCCACTGACTCCATGATAATAGGGGCAATGCTGGTTTTTCTTTCTCTTGTATCCTTAAAACCTAGCATATAAGTTGGCATGTGCTAGTTGCTCAATAAACATTTGTTGAATAAAAGATCTCCTGTTCAGGCATGTATCTATGTTAGAGCTTTTCCTCTTTATGACCACATCAAATCTTCCTCCAGAGTAAAGCAACTAAATCTTCCCTTGACCAGAAGCAGTATTAACTTCAAACTCACTGATGCTTAATGCTTTAAGAGAAATACAGTATTAATTTATCCATTTATTCATTCAATCAGTACATATCTGAACTCCTCCTACCACAGGTCAAGCATCATTCTAGATGCTGGTCCCTGCCATCATAGTGCTTGCATTCTATGGGGAGAAGGGAAGGAATAGGACACTATTAAGTAGTTAGAAAAACTAACTAACTTACTAAAAACTTACTAAAAACTTACTAACAACTAGTAAGTAGTTAGAAAAAACTGAAGAGGTAAAGGGAGAGGGGCAGAGAATGTTGGGAGGCAGGACATGAATGGGGTTTGCTATTTTCCAGAGTAAACAGAAAAGTCCTCTCTGAAAGGGGAACCCTCCTACACTGTTGGTGGGAATGCAAGCTGGTGCAGCCACCCTGGAAAACTGTGGAGGTTCCTCAAAAAGTTGAAAATAGAGCTACCCTTCGACCCAGCCATTGCCCTACTGGGTATTTACCCCAAAAATACAAATGTAGTGATCTGAAGGGGCACATGCACCCCAATGCTTTTAGCAGCAATGTCCACAATAGCCAAACTATGGAAAAAGCCTAGATGTCCATCAACAGATGAATGGATAAAGAAGATGTGGTGTGTGTACACACACACACACACACACACACACACACACACAATGGAATATTATGCAGCCATCAAAAAATGAAATCTTGCCATTTGCAACGACGTGGATGGAACTAGAGGGTATTATGCTAAGCGAAATAAGTCAATCAGAGAAAGACAAGTATCATATAATCTCATTGATATGAGGAATTTGAGAAACAAGACAGAGGATCATAGGGGAAGGGAGGGGAAAAATGAAACAAGATGAAACCGGAGAGGGAGACAAACCATAAGAGACTCTTAATCTCAGGAAACAAACTGAAAGTTGTTGGAGTGGAGGGGGGTGGGAGGGATGCGGTGGCTGGGTGATGGACATTGGGGAGGGTAGGTACTATGGTGAGCGCTATGAATTGTGTTAAGACTGATGAATCACAGACCAGTACCTCTGAAACAAATAATACATTATATGTTAATAAAAAAAATTTAAAAAAGAAAAGAAAAGAAAAGTCCTCTCTGCTAAGGAGACATTTGAGCAGGCCAAACAGTATACTAGAGAAAGGAACGGTAAGTGCGAAGGCCCAGCCTAGAAGGATGGGCAATGTACCCATTCTCTACCAGTGTTTATTAACTGGGGGGTGACATCACCCTTAAAAAACATTTGGAAATATGAAGAGGGGTATTCTGAGTTTTCACAATGATGTGAGGTAGGGGTGAGGAGTAAGGAGAAGTTCAAACAACGAATTAAAAGAATTGCTCAGCTCAAAATACCCAGTGAAATTTTTGCTGGGGATATCAATTACAGCATTATTGGTTTTATTTTCAAATTGCCTTCATTATATTATAAAATGTCAACCAACAAAAAATTGCATAAATTATGATACAACATATGCAACAGATTTGTATCTGCAACAGAATTGTATCTGATGTAAATTTAGTTTATCCTAATTCAACTACGTAGTTTCAGCCCCACTATTTTCTCCATTATGCTGGTTCATCATCTTTCATACGTGATATAGACTAGCTCTCAGTTTAAGAATTCAGGTGATACTATATACTTACTGACTCCTCTGCCTCATACTGCACAGAAAAATCTTCGATGGGAATTGACATACCTTGACCATTAAATCAATCAGGGAATCATTCTCCCATTCTAATGTGGGAACATTTCCCATTCTCTACTTTCTCTGACAATCATCTCATGTTTTAAGACCAGCTCAAAAGAGACCTCATCCATGAAGCTTTTCTCTCCTTTCCCAGTTGCTCACTTTTTTGTAGTACCATAGCACTAGACTCCTCCTCTCCTTAAGCATGCCTACCAGACATATCACAAGGTTTTTCTTTACCTGCCTGCCTCCCCAACAAAATCGTAAGTTCTTCCAGGGCAACAACTAGACCTTATCCATCCATCTTTGTAGCCCCAGCACCTAGTACAGTGCCTGGTGCTTACCAGGCGTTCAATAAATGATTGTTGAACGAATGGAGAAAGAGTAATTTCCAAGTTGAGCAAAAAGGAAAAAAAAAAAAGTCGAAATTTAAAATGTACTTAGGTTTCTATCTAAGACCCTAAAAAACGCCTGCATGAGTTAGGCTGAAGCAAGAAATAGGACCAGACGGCTGGTAGACGGAGAAATCAGCATTTGAGGACTTTTTCAAAGTATTTGCTGAGAGGTGTCAATAGACGGTTTTCGACGCAATCCTGTTAAGAGCAAGAGTAAGGGACATGACTTCTTGTGATCTTTTCCAACCCTAAGACCCCAGAACTCCCTTAGTCGGTGAGGTATCACTTCGAGGAGCCCAGGTACCCTAGATGAGGCTCTCACCTTCCCGTTGGTGGGGGGCTCCTGGATGTAGATGTTGCTCATGCTGGTCAGTGCTCAGGACTCTGCTTCTAATTGGGAATGAGAACGGAGGGCCAATCACTAAAGCTGTCCACCTATCAGTGCACGCTTCCTTCAATCGGGTGGTCACAGAAAGCTCCAGTTTGTCAGTGTCGCCGAGACTACAACAAGCACTCTCTCTCCACCAAACTAGTTTCTCACGGACGCCGCCATGTCGCTCCTGGACCAGAGCACCGCTAATCCTGAGAAGGGGGATTCCGATGACCTCCAGGGAAGGAGAAAATATTATTAAGAACCCACAGATTAACTTAATTTGTGTTACAATTTTTAAATGCAATCTATAAATCCTGGTGTTGTTTACTTCAGTACACGTATGTGCAGGTCTCACTCACCTCCCCCCCCCCGAAGCATGCAGCAATGGTTTGGACCATGTGTGTTCTGTAATATGACTCCCCCGGAAACTGAATCAATGCGACTTGGTTCCGCTATCGCCGGAGGCCTTCCTGGACTGTCACCGAGGTCCCGCGGCGCCGGTGGGAGGAAGAGGCCGCCCTCGCTGTTTGTTGTCCTCGCTGCTTGTTGTCCTCGCTGCAGGCGGGAGGCGGGCTTCCTCTCGAAAGCCTACGGCTCCTGCGACCCCTCTTACCAGCGCCATGGCAGTCCCAGGTGAAGACCGACGCCAGGGCCCGTAGGTCTAGGCGAGGAAGGGAGCTGGTAGGGTAGGTTGGGGTGCGCTGGGCTCGGGAGTAGCGCCCATGGGGATTGAGGCGGGGGCGTGAAAATTAACAGGTTCGTTTGGTCTACATGAAAAAGTTTACACTCCAAAAATAATCTCTGAAGGGAAGAACGAACGACAGAAACTGTCTCCCCCACCCCAGTCGAGCTCCCGCGGCGTTGGATGGATTACAGGGAAAGTGTGTCGTGGGGGAGGAGGGTCGGGAACTGTAGGCCTAGGGGTCGAGGAGCCGAGAAAAACGGACTTCACTTCGGTATGGCTTGAAAATAAAATTCAGGTGGCAACACTTGACGGACCCAGGTAGCCAGAGGCATTGTTTGTCGTGGAAGTCGCAGGGACGAAATTGACGTCTGGGCTTCTGCTCTCTCTTCCTATTGTACGGAGTCCCTGTGTGGCGGTGGACCGGTCGCTTTCCCCCTCTGGGCCTCTTTTTGTGCATCTATAAAGGAAGATTTGCTCCTTTATGTCTGTGGTTTCTTCCAGCTCTCAGGTTCTGTGTCCAGTGGGTACCGACCTAAAAACAGTGAACCCTACGAAATAAGTGCTTCAGAGATTTCTGGTCCACAACTACCAGCTTACTTGGAAGTTCTAGTCGGGGAGGGCATCTGCTTAAACCAGGTTTGCTGCCATGTCTTCTGAAGAACCCTGGTTGTAGGAGTTATTTTGAGAATTATATCCCTATGACCCACCCCCAAACCCACAGCTTGGAGATTCACTGTGCTGTTTAGTATATGAAAGACTAAGAAGTGCTATGGTTCAGAAGCCCTAACTTTGTTTTAACCTACCCTTCCCAGTATTGTTTAACCATGTTTGTATCGTGGCAGCCTTTTCTGAACTATATTTTACGGATCACTGTTATAGGGATATTGCGCTTTTCTAACCACTTCAGTTTTGGGAGGAGGCGGAATTAAGAGAGAGGAGAGATACACTCATTCATACACAGAACAATCTTTACTGAAAGTGCCTACCACGTGCTAGGCAATGTGCTAGGCAGTGCGAATACAGCGGTGAACAAGACAGTTGCTCTTCACACAGAACTTAGAATTTAGCAATGGAGAGGAAGGACCAGAAAGTCAGACATGTATGGCAGGGAAAATTTGAAGCCTTCAGGAGCACATAGTAAGGGCACCTCACAGAAGACTAGAGGGGCTAGGAAGATGGACTTCCTAGAGGATGTGGCATTTAGGGTGAATCTTGAAGAATTCCAGGAGGATTGGAGTGGTGAGAGAAGAAGTTGCAGCCTGAGGGACTGGATATGTAAAGAAAGAGGAAATGTATGAGAAGAGGAAATAAAAGAAGTAAAAGATTCTCCCTATAAATGGAACTCAGAATACAAATGGGAGAGAAGTGAGAAATTAACTAGGGAGTTAATAACAGTAGCTAATATTTACTAATGTATCAGATGTGTAAGTAGCATTTACTATGTATCAGATGTGTCACAGTGTGTCAAGCATTGTATTTTATCTCATTTAACGTCAGTCCGCACTGTAAGATAAGTATTAATACTTCAGTTTTATATGAGGATACTGAGGGATAAACAAATCAAGTCGCTTGCTAATTAAGGGATAGCTAGTAAGTGACAGGTCAGTGGGGCTCTTCTAGGCCCCATGCACTTATTCATCTTGCTATGTTATAGTATAATTTACAAGGTAGTTTCCACCTCTTAAAGGACCTTGTAAGCCATGACAGTTTGGATATTTTCCCAAGGACTATAGAAAGCCATTTAAGAGTTTTAAGAGATTCATATTTTGGAAAGATCATTCTGGCTGTACAGTAGATTGGAAGGGAGCTAGTTTGGAGACAAGGTCACCAATTAGGAGTAAATTCTGGTAAGTTATGATGCTTCAGGTATGGTATCAGGAAAGGAGAGAAGTACATGGATTGGAGATACGTTTTTGATGGTAGACTCACTAGGAATCAGTGATTGATCCAGTGTAGGTGGGTAAGACAGGAGGTGGGGTTTCACTGTTACCGGATTGGGTGGGGCCATTTACTAGCATAGGCAATACCTGAGAAGGAGCAGGTTTTAGGGGGATGATGAGAATTTCAGTTTGGGGTTTGTGTTGAGGTATAGTCAGACATATGAATGGAAATATCTAATAGGTAGTAAGAGAAAATTTGTAGCTTAGGAAAGAAGCCAGAGTCAAAGACCACAATTTGAGTCATCCGCAGATGTAATAGGAGTTAAGACCATGGTAGTGGCTGCCTGTGCTCAGGTGGAGTGTGTAGGGTGTGAAGGAAGGGTCTGTGGCTGCAGCCTGGAGCTTAACAACCTGTAAAGAGCTAGCAGAGGAAGGCCGGTCTGCACAGTAGATTGCCTAGGCGTCCTGAGCCTTCACATCAGCCCTGATGATCCTTGTATTGCACTACTACATCTAGAGTTGAGTTGCTGTCACTGTTGGTTTTATTACTTGAGCAAGCGTTTTGAGCACCTACACGGTATAGACACTCTAGGAGACACAACATCCCATCTTGTGTTCTCATGAAACTTAAGTATAGTAATAAAAATGGGGTGCTTAAGAAAGAAGAAAAAAAAGTGATTTTTTAAAAGTCCTCATTGGAATTGCCTTAAACTTAGACAAGTGTTATAGCTGTGTTAACTTTCTTCCGATTCAAAATAATACTCCACAAAGTGTAATAATCTTAAATTGTGCCATTAAGCTAGATGGCAAGACATGGATAGACTGTTTAAGCCCAGCAAAAATTGAGATAATAGACATGACAGCACTGTAAGAGTACAATGCAAGTATCATTAGGAAATAGAGATACAGAAAATGTTGAGATAATTTCTTGCGTGATCGATCCAGGTAGTGGATTAAAGAAAAATAGGGCTCCATCAGAAACCTTTTGAGATAATTATTGAGAAGGCCAAGTATTAAGTTACGCTCTTTTATTTTTAGGTATAATGCTCACATGGATTCAGCATGGCATTTCTCGGGTGGTCTTGCTAGTGATTATTATGAGATAAGACTATAAAGTGACGAGGATGCTTTCCACAAGTGAAAATCAGCCTCTTCTGTTTTATGGTCGCCTACTTCAGCTGTTTTTCCACAGCATTATGTGTAAGCATACACCATTATGTAGGCAACACGATGAAATGTGTACTTTCTTAGGGAAATCATAGACTCTTAGTTGTTATTTTAAAAATGACGTTTAAGGGGCGCCTGGGTGGCTCAGACGGTTAAGCGTCTGCCTTCGGCACAGGTCATGATCCCAGGGTCCTGGGATGGAGCCCCACATTGGGTTCCCTGCTCAGCGGGGAGTCTGCTTTTCCCTCTCCCTCTGTTGCTCCCCCCTGTTTGTGCTCGCTCTCTTCTCCTCTCTGTCTCTCAAAATAAATAAAATCTTTAAAAATAAAAATAAAAAATAAAAATGAGATTTAAATACAGGTTTCAGTGAAGTTGGCTTTCTTTTAGAAACTACTTTGCCCATTCACAGTTGTTGACATTAGTTCTGACATTCATGTTGATGATTCACCGTTCCCCATGAAGAGTCCACCTGACGCCCAGTGGCAGTGTATGTTACTGATGTTGCTGGCACAAAAACTCTTTTTCTCTCATTCAGTAAAATCTATATAGCCAAGATAGGGAATTTTCTGTACCCAAATTAACATTACATCTGGCATATGAAAGTGAGTCGAATTTTTAAAACACATTACTGTAACATCTTAGTAATAGAAGAATTCTAAATCACAATGCATCCCATTGCTTTTCACTCCTAAACAGTACACATTTTCTTTTCTCTCTAGTCTATGCTGCACATTGCTGCTGAAATAATTTTCCTTAACTATATATCTGATCCTGTCATTCCTGGGGAAGGGGGGAGTGGGTGGTAAGGAGTTAGTTCTTGGGCCCCTATCTGTGAATTTCATATTTCTCCATCACCCAGATCAGGATTTTAAATATTTCCATCACCCTAGGAAGGTCCCTTACGCCTTTGTCATTTCCCCCTTCCTTTGCCTAAATAACCATTATTTTATTTCAATTGTCCTTTTTTTAAAATTATCCTTCTTTTATAACTATTATTCCAGTGCCTGTCCTTCCTCAGATGGGCCAGTGACACTGCAGACTAGTTTCACAGCTAGTAACTGGGAGCTGCAAACGTTACTGATTCCCAAGTGCGGGAGTATTTTCTTAAGTCTCTAACCTCAAAGTAACAAGCATTTGTTGAGGACATATAGCAAGGCTACACCATGCTAAGCAGTGCATTGTATACAGAATTGAATGGCATGTTCTGGAAGCTAGAGAAACTAGCTTTTTCTACTCCTTTAAGTTCCTGGGAGGTAAAAGGCAGCCATTTACCTGAGCCCTTCCCTGACACTCAAGTTATTTAACAGAGTTCTAGATCCAGAGTAAGCCCTTGCTAATATTTAACAAGTAAAGAGATAAAGACCTCTGCAATTTATTCCTAAAACCATCAGTTAATAAAATTTTATTATAAATCTGTAACGTAGCTTCTCTGAAGAATTTACAAGTGCAGTTACTGCCTTTGTTAAAGAATCTTGCACAGCAGCAACTCTTCTTTATGTTGGGTTGTTTGAGGGAGGTTTTTAGTTTGGTTTTTGAGAAGGGAATTCATTCACATGCTTCAGATTTTAAAGCTACCAAAAGGTGTGTAGTGACATGTCTCTCACCCTTTCTACCCCTGGAGGTTCTTTTTTCAGCTAACTAGTTTATATTCTTAGAGATCTTTTTTGTATCTCTCCATCTATCTATAAATAAAATCTACATATAATTTGTATTTTATTTACATCTAATCTTTCATACGAATGGCAACATACCATAAGCACTGTTCTATACCTTGCTTTTTTTCTTTATATCTTAGAGATCATCAGATATCATTAAGTAAAGACTAACCATAATTTATGTCTAAATTATTTCCACTCTTTTACTATTATAAATGATGCTGTAGTGAATAACTTTGTATATAAGTCAATATAAGTCACTATGCATTTGTGCAAGCAAATTGAGAAGATTCATTCCCAAATGGGGAAGTGCCAGGTCAAAGTACTATGTACATTTATAGTTCTGATAGGTTTTGTCAGTTTGCTTTCCATAGGGGTGATATTGATCTACACTACTATTCAGCACTGTATGGGAGTGTGTCTGCCCCATACTCTTTTCAACCCTTTCTTTGCTATTCTGATGAGGGAAAATGTAATCTCAGTGTAGATTTTAATGTACATTTCACTTATTATGAGTAAGGATGAGCATCTCCATGTTTCAAACTTGTTTCTGTTTCTGTGAGCTTTCTGTTTAGCTCCTTTGCTGATTTTTTTTTTCCTGTTGTTTGTTGGTTTTTTTCATAATGATTTTCTGGGTTTTATATGGTAGGCATAATTGCCCTTTATTGGTGCTATGAGTTGCAAATATTGGTTCCTACATTTTCATGTGTCTTTTGAGTTTGTTTTAGCTGGTCTTTGCCATTTTTTTATGTAGGCAGTTTTATAAGTTTTTATTCAATGGTTTTAGGACTGTAGGTCATGATTACAAAGGAACATTTGGAGGGATGCAGGCTCTATTACTCTGAACAGCGTTAGCAAACTTTAAAGAGGAATGGAACAAAGAACAGCATGAGAACCTCAGATGGGGAAATGGATAACTTCTAATTGAAGTAATAAGGGCCTCTCAGTGTGGCCTTGCTATTCAGTTTGACATGGATCTTGGGTACCAGAGTTCTTGTCCCAAACAACAGAAACTGACTAGTTAATTGAAGAAGAAAATGAAAGATCTCAGGATGCTCACAGAATGTAAGCAAAGGCTAGATAACAAGGCTTGGAAAACAGACGAGACTAAGGGCATCCATAGCCAAGATGGTGCATAGCCCCAGACCTGGTTAGGAGTGCCACTCTCTGTGGCATCACTGCCACTAGAAACTGCATCTTGACAGGAGAATGAATGAAATGTCCCCACTTCATAGTGTCACTTGTCTCAGATTTATTGTATCAGAGGCATCAGATTCAACGTCCTAGGTAGAAGCATTCATTTGGCCCAGCAGTCATGAAAATTAGGACAAATGAAGCTTGAAATTTTAAGTCAACCAAAAACTAGTGAGGACATAGTTAATACGGAGTTATTTATTTAGTTCTTGTCTTATTGCCCTATCATGTAAAAGTTACAACTTTGTTAAAGAAGATGACCTACTTGGAAAAAGTTAATATTTTGTTCATTCTAAAAATATGAGATACAGTTCGTCATAAATAAGTTAATTTCTCATAAGTGCTGAGATGAGATCATGTCAGATCTGTCCATTACAACATTTTTAGTTTATTGTAGGAATGGTAATGGTGCATTTAGAATAGTTTTGTTCTGTCTCATTCAGCGTCTGTGGTTTCTATGGAAACAGACTTAACACTGACCTGGATTCTCTGAGCTTTTTTTCCAACAGGCAATTATTTCATAATGAAAGAGCCTCAGATTTTATTATTAATCCAGTGTTATACCACAATTCTGCTACAGTGCAGCATATGCATTCCTACTCTATGCAATACAAACCATAAGGTTTATGAGAAAAAATGAGATTGGGGCACAATAGTCAAAAACTTCATCAGTGATACATAAAAAATGATAGAAACCTAGTAACAGTAGCACAGTTTTGCACATGTTAATTGGTTAAAAGGCACATAAATAATATAGTAAATAGGGTACTATGCCTTGTAAAAGACCTGGAGTTTGCTGTGGAAGCAGACTTCGTAAGAATTGCAGTTTGTGAATTGTTCCAAAGTAATGGTGGGGGAAGAGGATGATGTGAAATCAGATCAGAGTTATGACACCTTATGTGGGTGGGCACTGCTCACAGCACACATGTTGAACTGAGGTCACTAGAAATATTTTGGGTTGTGTCCTTGCGTGTGTTTTGTATATTCCTATGAACCTCAGAGCAAATGGATACCACTTTCTGCATTCACCTAGTGTTTTTCATGGACAAAAGTCACATTATGTTCAAATCGTTCTCTCTTATTTACATCAATTGTATTGGAACAAATTTATGTTTTTAAAACAAGCGTTATAGCACACCTGACTGTATTTTTTACTAGAATAACTCAGTAATGTGTATTTTAAAGTAAATTTGGGATTAGGGAAAAATGACTAGTGTTTTGACTTCATAACAGTGAAGAGATAGTTTAAATTAACACTGTTTTATATTTGCGTTCCATGTACTTTAATTTATTAGTGAGTTTGGCTTATATCTCCATATGAAGAATTTAGAAGTTAGATGCCTTGCATTAAGGTAATAGAACAATTCTTTCCTGACCTTCTGGTTGCTGGAAGCCCTTACTGGAGGTGAAAATTAGTTTCAACTATATGTGTTATGCAGCCATAAAAAGGAATGATCTTCTGATATGTGCTACAGTTTGGGTGATCTTGAAAACATTATGCCAAGTAAAATAATTCAGACACGAAAGGATAAATATTGTATGATTCCACTTATATGAGATTCCTAGAACAGGTAAATTTATAGAGGCAGAAAGTAGGATGGAGAGTACCATGGGCTCGAGGGAAGGGGGACTGGGCAGTTATTGTTTAATGGGTGTAGTTAGTGTTTGGGATGATGAAAGATTTTGGAAATAGTGGTGATGGTTGTACAACCTTGTGAATGTACTTCATGCCACTGAATTCCACACTTAAAAATTGTTAAGGTGATAAATTTTATGTATATTTTCATTACAAAATCAATTTTAATTTATTTCATCTGTTATTATCTTCCAGCATTGCTTGCATGTAGCACTAATGATACAGAAATACTATAAATATTTCTAAACATCGATCAGACTGAATATGTGACTAGCAGTTTGTTTTCTCTTGTAAGAGAATCTGATTGCTGAATTCAGATGTTTCTTAGAATAGCTAGCAGTTAAAGTATTTTTCTGGATTTTCACCAATTCCTTTTAAAAAGTCAGTTTGTTTTTCTTCCAAGGGAGAGCAGAAAAACATTTGTTATCTCTAATGTTCACATATATGTATCTATAATAACTAGTATATATAGTGCATATGTGTATGCATATACGTATATAGCTAATTATTTACATTTGAGGGACAAGCTAAAATACTCTGCAATTTCTTCCTCAGTGTTCTAGAATTCCTGGAATGTTTAAGTTCTTGACTATAACACTGCATTTCTGTTAAAGAAAAATATATTCCAAAATTCTTGAAATATTGTCAAAGAAAATAATTTGAGTAAATTGGCTTTTTCAGTGATTTCTAGCATTCATAACAATTCAATGGATAGTGTTACTAATTTGGGTCAGGAATGATTTTTTTTAATTAATTAATTAATTAATTTTTAAAAGATTTTATTTATTTGACAGAGAGAAAGACAGCCAGAGAGGGAACACAAGCAGGGGGAGTGGGAGAGGGAGAAGCAGGCTTCCCGCGGAGCAGGGAGCCTGATGCAGGGCTCGATCCCAGGATCCTGGAATCATGACCTGAGCCAAAGGCAGACGCCCAACGACTGAGCCACCCAGGCGCCCCAGGAATGATTTTTTTTTAAAGAAAGAAATCTACAATAAGAGGTTTCTTAGCTTTTTCATGTGATGAAATTCTTATGTTTCTTCTTTTTATATGTCTCCTAAAATGTCATCCAATTTTATTTCAGGTTGCAACAAGGATAGTGTCCGAGCCGGCTGTAAAAAATGTGGCTATCGTAAGTACATTAAAAAATAATATTTCAAAGAGTGAATCATTGCCTCTTTGGGCAGTGTGATCTGGCATCCTGATTTTACTGCCCTGATTTCAGCATAGTTCTGTAACCCTGTTATTTAGCCCAGGTTTGCAGATGATTCAGAAATTGCTGTCAGCTCTGAATGGTTCCTTTCTTCCCTGCTGTAGACTCAGTGACAGGTGGCTATATATCTAGTGACTAGCAAAGCTGTCAAGTACAAGTGGAGTAGATTTAGGAGACTGGAGAAAGTATATTCCAAAAAAAAAAAAAAAAGGACACATATGCTTAATCTTTTACTCCTTGTCTTTCTAGATACTGGATGAAGAGGGGAAAGCAATGAAAATTATTTATGAAGGGTTTTCCTGTTGACTGAGTTTAGTCCTTTTAAGGATGAAATTAGTCCTAGAATTTCTGCTCACAGGCAAAAGTTGATGTAAACAGTCATTAATCTCTATTATGATCAATGAAGTGGAATAAAAAAATAAACTTTAACATGTGCAATTATGTAGCTTAAATTTGTAATTATGTACCACAAACAAATATCATTTCTTTAGTTAAATGTAACAATTCCTGAAGTTGATAACAGCGAGAACAGTATCATTTGTTTTTGTATAAATTGGAGACCATGCACATGAGCCTGGATTATGGTTAATGCTCCATATAAAATTAATTAATTTACATAGAAGTATAGTTACATTTGATGCACAATGTTACATGAGCTTTAGATGTGCAACATAATGATTTGTTAAGTTTATACTTCAGGCTATGCTCACAAGTACTACCATCAGTCACCATATAGTGCTCTTTTATTTGACAGAGAGAGAACGGGAGAGCAGGAACACAAGGAGGGGGAATGGAAGAGGGAGAAGCAGGCTTCCCGCCAAGCAGTGAGCCCAATGTGGGGCTCAATCCCAGGCCCCTGGGATCATGACCCAAGCTGAAGGCAGACACTTAACTGACTGAGCCACCCAGGCACCCCCAGAAAAGTTATTTTTAAAAAGATAAATGTGATGTAAAAAAAAGGATGTCCTTGCAAGAACATGTGATAAGAGAGCACTCTTATCATAAATCTTCATTAAAAGGGCTCATAATGAAAGCATGCTGAGAGTACCAAGTCACATTCCTCCAAGCAAAGGCTGAAATGTGGCACAAGGGAATCTTGCTCAGTTAGCAAAAGTGAGCAATAAGCATACATAGCCTTCACTTAAATTAAAACTCCTGAAGAATATACTTTCATGCAAGAAATGGCTGCAGTGAAATCTTTTCTGTGTTTTAAACTTGTTTATATTTATTTCTGCTTTGTTTCCTTTCTTTAAATCTTTGCTAATTTCCATGTTTTGTTTCTTGATTTAAGACTTAAGAACCTGCTCACTCATGCTCTCTCTCTCTATATGCTGTTTTATTTACTTCAAAATTTAGAATGGATTTTCCAATCTGTCTATAAATACCAGTTTATCTACTTGGACTTCTTTTTCATTTTTAACTTAAGACTTGTAAGAAAATAGGGGTGCCTGGTGGCTCAGTCGGTTAAGCATCTGCCTTCCACTTGGGTCATGATCCCAGGGTCCTGGGATCAAGCCCAGCATCAGGCTTCTTGCTCAGCAGGGAGTCTGCTTCTCCCTCTCCCCCTGCCTGCCGCTCCCTCTGCTTATTCTCTCCCTCTCTATCTCTGTCAAATAAATAAATAAAAATCTTTAAAAAAAAAAAGACTTGTAGGAAAATGATAAAAATAATTTTTTGGAAATACAGTATTTGTTGATCTAGTCTCCTTACTGCTATTTTATTTTAAACAATGATGGAAGTATCTGTAGTAATTAGAATTTTTTTTAGAGAAGCCAAGTAAGCAGATAGGTTTGGCAGTCTTTCTAAGTTTAGTTCCTTCTGCTTTATTATTTTAATCTATTATTTTAGTGATTAAGTTATTAAATAACTTCTATTCAGTAATACTTCCCTTCTGGGTTAAACTTACATCTTATACCTGTTAAAAATGAAGGTCTTTTGAATTTACATGTCTTTCTGATAGAAACTACATTTTAAAAATTACCTGTTATTTGCAGGCCAGAATTTTTGTATTGATAGTAGATGTAAGAGAAAAGTCCACAAAACTCTTTGAAATGTTTTTAATGCCTAAAAATGTGCATATTCATCATTCAGTTACAAAAGAGTATTGTCTCTCTAATGTTGTGAAGCTAATGGTTTAGGTTGTACTATTTTAAAAATTTTAATACTTGATTGAAAAAGATTTTATTGTCAGTATGTTTCAAGAGTGTTTATATTATTTTTAAAAGTTTCAAGTTAAGGATGAATGTGTTACTAAATAACAGGGATGTCACTTTTTCATGGCAATTTCCTCAACAAAATAAGAAAAATTGTTATTTCTATGATAAGTTTTTGAATTTTTTTTGGAGTTGGCAACTTCTGAATATTTAAAAGCTACAAGAACACTAAGCCTTTTTCCATGGAATAAATTTCTCAAATAATTATGATAGTTCTCAGAAAATAGACCTTTAAAAAGTTCGGTATAGTATACTCAGTGGTTGAGCATTTGATTGTAGCAGCAGGAAATAAAAACATACCTAAATACCTTTAATGTTTTATTTAACTTAAAATGCTAATCTATTGATAGATATTCATGACCTTTTCTTTGCCTGTGGGTCTGCTCATTATTGTTTCTCATAGACTTTTAAGTGCAAATATCTGAAATGCATTTCCTACATTTTATAGTTTGTTTTTTCAAAGATAAGCAAGCAGTGAAAATAATAAATCTGAGTGCAAAATCGTTTTATCATTTGTTCCCATTAGTGGTAATACTGGCCCCCTGGAAATCTGTGGCCTTTTTTTTTTTTTTAAGTTGTCCATATCTGGTTGAGGGCAACAGTAGGACATTTAGTATGTAGGGTGTAGTGATTATAAACATCCTGTGATGTGTAGGGCAATATTGGACAGTGAAGAATTGCCTGCCTCAAAATGACAGTGGCACCCCCTTTGAGAAATAGGTACTTCTTCTCATTGTTTTAGATTTTTTTTCTCTATCTTGTACAGTCTTGTTCCAGTACCTAATTTGAAAACTGCTTTTAAAAATAATTCATTTAAATCAGGTGTTTCTGAAAGTACAACTTTGTTTTATAGAAACAACTACTCTTTTTTGCCCCACGTTCATATTTTTGGACTTACATGATTTTATATAAGCAAACTTACATATAACAATAACAAATAGGTCATGAAGCAAACTATGCAGATTCAGGCCTGTATGGGGAGGGATAAAAAAGTGGAGAGCCTATATAGTCTCCCATTTCAGGAAATTTGCATGAGAAAAGTAAGGAACTGTCTTAGTCCTTTTGGACTACTATAACAAAATACCATAAGCCCAGTAGCTTATAAACAGAAATTATTGCTCATCAGAGGCTGTAAGTCCAAGCTCAGGGTGCCAGCAAGTTTTCCAGGTCATAGATTTTTCATTTTATACTCACATGGTGAAAAGGACTAGAGATCTCTCTGGAGTCTTTTTTTATAAGGCAGTAATCCCATTCATGAGGGTACCACCCTCAGAACCTAATCACCTCCCAAAGGTCCCATCAACTAATACCATCCTCTTTGGGGGTTAGAATTTCAGCATATTAATTTTGGAGGGGACACAAAGATTCAGGTCATAACAGGAACATATTCAATACAATTAACCCTTGAACAACATAGGTTTGAACTGCACAGGTTTAGTTTTAAGTCTTTTTTTTTTTTTTAATACAGTACAGCAGTAGAACAGGAACCACCACTTATCTCCCCCTCCCCACCTGCACTTAGCCACGGTAGATCCTAGTCTAATACCCATTTCTTGCTCCTCTTCTGGGAATGTGGAAAACCTCATTCCACGTGGAGTCCAGGGAAGGTAGATAACTAGGGAAGTCAAAGTACCCTTACCCTTCTCTCTAGGTCACTTGTGCCACTTGATCTTCTTTATGTGGTTCTAATGCAGTTTCTGTTCATGGAAAATGCCGTCAAGGAGTAAGCTGCCAGTTCCCATGTAATATTAGCTACCCTCTTCAGAAGATGTTCAGCACCTTGGACAGCGCCCCACCCTACTGAGGCCCAGGCTTCTGTCTGGTGCTGTCCTGCCCTTGGTGTCCTCCTGCATTCCTTGGTTGGGGGCTTGGGGGTAGGTGGGTTATTATGTGGTTCTTGGTTACTTCAGAAAGAATCCTTCCCCAAGAGCCTGTTTCTTGCACCTCCCAGTTCAAGACCTCAGTGAACTGAGTTTCCCACAGGTAGTAGGATGGAGAGTGCCAGGAGCAGGCAAGAGCCCTGGTGTTACAGCCTTCTCTGGAACTTTCCTCCACCTTTGCTTTGTTTTTTGTTTTTTGTTTTTTTTTTTTTTTAAGATTTTATTTATTTATTTGAGACAGAGAGAATGAGAGAGAGAGAGCACATGAGAGGGGGGAGGGTCA